CTACCAAATTGGGTATTACAGAACCTTTTGGATTATTCATGGGTTTATTTGCTTAGCCCATTTGCATTGTTATTTTTTGGAGTCTTTATAAAAAATAAAAAAAAACATTGCATCGATTTGATATATATAAAATAAAAAAATAATTTAAAAGAAAATCTGCTCAAGGAAAACAAAAAAAAAAATTTTTGAAGAAGAAAGACAATCCAAACAAAAAAAAGGTTCTGGGTTCTTTCTAATGTACTTCATCATGCACACAATCATGATCATATGCATAGATACTCAATTCGGGAAACTACAACCATCGAATGTGAATCAAATCTCAGCTACAGAACTCCATTCATGTATGATCAAGGTGGTTGATTTGTTCCGTGAAATTGTTGGAACCTCGTCGCGGGATGCCGGACTTGTACAATATTATGGGCTATTGAATTGATGGGATAATAAATCTTATCCATTAACTCAATGGACGTAAGAACTAAAAGTGACAAATAAGTCACTAAAACAGCAATATATTAAAATATCGTAACAAAACTTGTCACTTACTAAAAGGGATAATTGCAGAAACCTTTCCTGAGATTTCTGACATTTGCACTGACCTCCCCTCTAAGTTTTGAAATTGCATTCGCCTCCCTGAACAGTAACAATTCGTTGCAGAAACCTCCCTGACAGTTTTTGTAGAAGTGAGATAAGAAATTTCTTCCAATTTTGCCCTCTTCTTGCTTGACAATTATTATTCGCTTGACAATTGCCTAACTACTTATCTAATTAGTTAATAGTTAAGCTAATTATCTAATTAGTTATTAACTAATTATCTGATTAACTATTAATTAATTAACTAATTAACTAATTATGTAATTATCTAATTAATTAGTCTGTTAATTAGTTAGCTAATTAATTAGTTAATTAGTTAAGCAGTTAATTAGTTTAACATGCAAATAGTTTGTTAGTTTCGGACAAACAATAGCTTTAGTTAATTAGTTAATTAGCTAATTAGATAAATAGAAATTAGTTAATTAATTAATTAGATAATTAGTTAGTTAATTAGTTAAGCAGTTAATTAGTTTAACATGCAAATAGTTTGTTAGTTTCGGATAGACAATAACTTTAGTTAATTAGTTAATTAGATAATTAGTTAATTAGTTAGGGGAGGTCAGTGCTATTTCAAAATTAATAGGGGAGGTCAATGCTATTATTATAAAAGTCAGGGGAGGTTTCTGCAATTATCCCTTAAAATATCGTAACAAAACTTGTCACTTACTAAAATTTGTCTTCCATAATCAATTTCATGTGTCAATTTCAAATCAAATCAATTTCCACTATCCGCTGTCCTCTGGATGTGGTCTACCATCCATATGCGGTAATTATGGCTGCAAGTTTGACCCACCACAGCCCAAATCCCAGAAAAAGGTTCATCTGAGAGCGAGAAAGAGTAGTTGATTTGTTTGTTCATTTTCGTTCAAGGCAATTAATCGTGGCACTTTTTCTTTTTTCTTTTTCAGTATTATTATTATATTATACTCTCCTGTCCATTTGTTAACACGGATAATTTCAGAAACCTCCCCCTGGGGTTTGTAACAATTGTATCTATCTCCCCTGAGGTTTAGAAAATTACGAAAACCTCACCTAGAAAGTATGTTTTGGTAACAAATAGTGATATAAGCACAAAAAATCCAATGAATATCTTTTATTCCCCCTATTTAATTTACAAAACAAGTTAAATTATAAAAGAAATCAAATATCAGCATTACTTGCTAAGTAAAAAGTTTTAAGATAGTTCTTTGCAGCAAAATTTAGACCATCATTTTATAATGTTTGAACTTCTAAATAAGTTGTGAAGAAAATATTTTTAACAAATGCATCCCTACTAGTCCGCTATTTATAAAACTAAGCCAAAAGTCCATTTAAATTACCTTGAAATTGAATATAATGTATTAAGTGAGACGAAGTTAGAACTTTTGGATAAAAAAATATTTGCAAAAAGCGATTTTCCTTTTTTTTCTTTACACCAACTTGTCACTTATAAGTTGTAGAGTTGTCAAGGCTATCATAGTTTTTTCATAATACCAAAAGAGGTAAGTATAAATTTTCAAATATTAAGGGATGCAGTTGCAATTGTCAAAAATGTCAGAAGAGATTTATGAAATTATCCCTTGTTAATATCATGCATATTTTCAGTTTTTGAAAGTCACAAGATAAGAGTCATTCTTTTTAAAAGTCAATGCAATATTTCATTAATTTTTTCACTTTGTCATTTAAAAAAAAAATAGCTTTTTCCATCTACTTATATATTTCTCACACTTTTAAATTTTAAATCTAAGGATAATAATGTAGTATAACTCATCCAAATATAATACTCCCTCCCTTTTTTTATAACTGACGTTTAAGGTTTTGCACACCAATTAAGAAAAGTTTTTCATTGTTGAAATCTATACACTACTTTCCTTTTGTACCCTCATTAATTGTCCAATTCACTCATTAATTCTCTCACTAGAGTATTAAATGGTGCTGTTTTACTAGGCCAAAAGCAAAGAGAGAAGTAATAATTACTAGGAGTAGTAATTAAGAGCCCTGTATTGGTAAAGAGAGATAAAAGGGTAATATTGTGAAAAAATAATTAATGCTGCACGGGAATAATACAACGACAGATAAAAGTCCTTAAGAGCAAATTTCTTAAACGTCAATTATAAAAAAAGGGAGGAAGTAATCAATAAGTATAGGTTTCCTTGAAAAATTACTTTCCTAAAAAACGACTCAATTTATGAGATGGAGGGCAAAAAGCATAATAAGCACACCATTTTAGAATAAAGAGTGAGCAAGGAGGCCGACTCTAATTGTGGATGTCGGCGATTAATTCTAAAGTGCCAGGATGAGAAATTCTATTCGGGTACGGAAGTACCTTTTCCCAGTTCAAACCTTGCTAGCTGGGAATGTTTTTGGGACGTAACTAACTACTGAGACGGACGACACAAAAGCTGGCTCTTTACTTTAGTTAGTGGGACAATTTTGTACTTGTGACGGGGCGTTTGTAAAATAAAAAAATGATTAAAAAGATAAAAATGCATATTACAAAATATATTTGTAATATAAACGACTAATTTTTTGACAAATAATTTCTATTCAGATGCAACGGTCAAATATTTTCCTTCCAAGAAGTTGATTAAAGATGAGCAGGAATAGTGCTCAATGAATCCACAGTTGCTAAGGTCACAAAAATTTTTTTTTTGTTCATAAAAATTTGGCGCATTAATCTGATTACTCAATCAAGACTTCTTTCTTAACCAACTTGATCTTTGGGTGCAGGTCTTTACTAAAGGAAACAAAGCATAAAGTGAAGCCCTGATGCAAGGAGCAGTATGTACCTTTATTTTCAAAGCCATGGCCTGTGGGACAATTCTCCAATATTGTAAAGCATTTCTGAGTAGACTAATTATTTAGTTGATTGGTTGATCAAGTCGAAGGATCAACCGGCTTTTGGGGTTCCCTCGGGATTTAGGTTTGTAAAAATTGACGTAAGCTCTTTGGGTTTCGAAAGAAAGTCGAAGGATCAACTATGAAGGTTTACCAACCTGAAGACGGGGTGGCTTTTTTTTAACTATGAAGGCTTACCAACCTGAAGAAGGATAATCTTGCTTTCTCGTGTTTGGATTATTTTGAAAATAAAATTATTGATTAATAAATAGGTTTCTTAATTATCTCTTTTTTTAACTATTTTCTTTTGTGATTAACTTTTATACGTTTTTAGTGTATAGATTTATTATTATTATTATTTTTTGCACAAGCAAGTTTAGATGAAAGACATATTATGACTGTTCAAATTTTAAATTCAGTTTTTGTACATGTGTCATGTATCTATACTTGTTTTAGTGTAAACAAATATTTACACTGATAGCGTATGAAACATTAATCATTTTTTTAAAAATTTTTTCTACATATATCACATAATTATTCTTGAATAATTTCAAATAATCTTCACTCCAAACAAAATGATTTGGTTTTCAAGCAGGCCCCAGCTCTACACCTACCATTCTATATCGTTTTCAAGCCGGCCCAGCTCTTACTGAACCAGCTGAAACTAGTAGTAGGTGAACTTATTCAGAAAACATACCAAAAAAGAAGTTGAATGGACCCAACTTCGTTAAACAATAGCAGCCCCTCAATTGGTGCACCATGGCCTCCTAAAGGCCAAGAAAGAAAGATCAAGGAGGTTTTTCCAATTGGGATTTTTTTTTTGGGTGGTTTCTACACAAGTCTGTAAATTAACACACCAAATATTTATTCAATAACATTTGTAGATAATAGTACAACAATACATAAAACTATGTATGGTGTACCAGTGTGTGCATTTTTTAAAGTTATTGGTGTGTTTGGATCACGAGTTCTTAACATGTTACATCATGGAAAAATACTACGTTCTTTTTTGGGTACGGTATTCAAGATTTTAATCCATTTACATCTTATTGCATCATTTTATTGATTCAAAATCTTAAACTAATTTAAAAGTTGATAATTTTTATTTTACATCAAACAGCAGTGAATTTGATTTCATCGGCAGAGTACCCCTAACGGAACTATAGAACTCTCCTGTATTATAAACACTCCAAAAAAAAGGAAAGCATATTGACTATTAATGTTTTAAATTTACTAGTCATATTTCAAATAACCCGTGTTCTAAACTTACCACTCATACTATATTCGAAGAAGAAATTTATCTTTTCACATTAAAAAAAAAAATCCTTAATCCACTTCTTATTCAGTGCCCTAGGCCTAGGGAAACTAAATAGACAAGCCTTTTACACATATCACTTTAATATATGCTTTCAGAACTGAATCCATGCTAAGGTGCAAGAAGCATTAAACAAGTCATGGCAAAAGTCTCAAAGGTCGGTAGCCTGTCCTGTCAGTTTCGGGTGAGAATTAATGCACATTTATTCATTCACGAAGCTTCTGATGACTTCTTAATTCACACAACTCAAAAAAGAAAGGAAGGAAAAAAAAACGATGGAGCTAAGTATGCATGAATTCTCTATCCATGTTAATTTGAAAACCTGAGTGTAGTATTAAAATTTGTTCTACACCTCAAAAACTTCTATCTAATGCCATAGGTACCGTACCTACTGCACATTAATCAAAATTATTTCCTGCTATTACCATTTAATCAACATGTGCTACAAAGAAAGATTGAGGTCCAAGTCATGATGGTGTTCACCTCCAGCTTTATGATCATCTTGATCTTGAGCTACATCAGCTTCTTTCCTTGAATTTGAAGGGCCTGCTTCTTCTTGGTTTATAATCATACCAGGAGGCGGAGGAGGAGGAGGAGTGCATAACTCCTTCTGAGCTGGTTGATCTTCCATGAAATCTCCGGGCTGGAATGTGGGGTTCCAAACTGCACTTGGCTTGTTCTGATCATGATTAGCCCTTTTCTTCTGATCTTCCTCTAACCTTAACCTATCTGCATTGCTCATAACCATCCTTTCCCTGATATCTCGAGTACTTCTGATTAAAGCAAAGAACGTCTCCATCTTCTCTTCTTCATTATCTTCTTCTGCTTCTGCATCATCCATCTTTCTCTTCTTCCTCTCCCCATCCATACTGCAAAATAACAAGGCTGGAGATGATAAGGGCCTGGCTAGCAGCTTGTTTGGGAATTGAGAATGATGGATAGTGGCCTGAATAGCAGTAGTAAAGATAGATAGTAAAGACAGATATGATTTAGGTGATTGACTTCAACCTGGTCTGTCCAAGTGACCTGCTATGATTTGTATTGCTTTGGTCTTCGCATAGTTATAAAAGAAATCAATTGTCTCTATAACTTTAACACCACAGAACCAACAATTTATTTTGAGATGGGGCACCAGTTCATCTTGGTCAAAAAATATCACGATGCCTCTTGTCAGTACTTTAATTTGTAGGTCATGATCAGAACCACTTCCACTGATTTATAGCATCTGCACTGAAGAACAAAAATCTGATTCTTATCACATTTCACTTCTAAGGTGTCGTCGTGATGAGTGACATATTGCAGATAAGCGTCATTTCTTACGTCAGATGGTGAACGTAATGCTTTGGCCCAACCATTATTCAGTAGCATGATCAGTGATGGCCACCCATAATGGTGACGTTAGATATTCTGATATTGGTGATGATGGCCAATTGCTGGCGGCTTCTTTGTACGAATTTTTTTTTGTTGGGTTGGAATGTTTCTAGGTAAGCACGGTCCCTCCTCCGCAACGCAATGTCACCCTCTATATTTTCCACACGGTTTTTGCCCATACCTCCTCTGAAAGTTTGAATGTGGTTCAATCCACCCACCCTCTGAAAAAGGATGCCCACCACTTCAAGAAATCTACTCAGATTTGATTCCCATCCTATCCCTTCCCTTGAACCGGAAAACTTTTGATAAAAATCCATCCTATCGATTTGGAGCAACTATTGAGCATGTCTATGTCTAGTACTTATTTCAAAACAAATGAAAAAGCATCACGTGAATATATAAAAACCCTCCTCGCTAATTCACATGTCAGGTGGAGTCTACTACAGGATATGTTAAATTGAATCAACCCTTATATATTTACAGCATGACTCTTTCATTGATCTTGGAACAACTATTAGACCTGTCAAATAGTTGCTCTTACCAACATAAAATTTTTGTCCCTTCTTTCTACGACGATGGAATGGGAGAAATGGAAGAAACCTGCAATAACTATCGAGCAACCTGCCTTGGACCTTTGTAATCGTTTGGAGAAATTCTAGTCAAGCCCTCCCATAAGCAGTCTTTTATCAAATAGTTAGGAGTCCAATATTGTGCCCCCTGCGGTTCTAAGATGTCCTAGGTGCATTCTTTCATCCGTAGAGAATGATGGCTTTTGGAATGGTTGAACAAAATTTTGCGCAAAAATTAATGAGCTAAGAATAGGGTTGTAAATAGAAGAAACGCTACATCAAATTGGCCCTCACCAAGCTGATTATGAGGCTGCAGATGGGGCAAATGTTACATCAGACTGGCCCTTAACGAGCAAAATACAAGTTTGAGATGCAACAAATCTGCTGCTAAATGCTCAAACCTTTGAAGTAACCACAACACGCGGACTTAATCACCAAAACATGACCAGGGGTTTAAACCCCTTATTCTTTTACCAGGCCCACAGATGTGGAAGTAAGGTCAATGACTAATGTACTCGTAAAGGAGGCCACACGCTCGTAGAAATAGATCTGTCAAGGGCAAACACTGGCAGGCAGGACCATTTCCAAGATGGACCCTTTGCCGTGTGAAGACTTTATTAGTCATCTGCCCACTGAACCCTATGTTTTGCCCAAAGATAGATTGTTTTATCTGGACCCCTACTACCCATCTCGTACAGCTCCAATGGAATATTTTTCTTGCCCATCTCCTGCAATACTGGGGATAAAATGTTCCATACAGCTGAAACCTCATCGCTTCTCATGAATAGATGGTTGTCTCCATCTATGACATCGTGGAGAAGCTGCTCATATGAATCAGGCACCTCAACATTATACCTGACATTTCAAGAAAATGTCAGGTATTATGAAGCATTAGGAAGAAGGTAATCTTTAGCATCATAGCACAAGATTGCACACGAAAACAAAAAGGCTACTGGAAGGAAAGTAAATGGCATACTTGTCCTTGTAAAGCAAATTCAGCTCTGAGACATCCAATTCCATGCCCAATCCTGGGACCTTATTGTTGACTCTGACTAGGATTGCCTCATCAGGAGCATCACGTAAGATTAGCTCGTTTGTGGCAAGATCATTATTCCGTGCAGTATTCTTGAGGTAAAGATTTCCTGGGACATGACGGAAGTGTATGCGTATTTCGACCCTGCACCGCAGAAATAAGAGAAGAAGTTCTCCAAGTCAATAACATGTCTAAGCCAAAGTCGAGATACGAAGGAAAGAAGTATGGTCAAATAGAGACAAAAAATTTTAGAATGAGAGCATGAGGAAGGTGATGCCAGTCCTGCACAATAACCAGAACTAGAATCTATGCTACCACTGAAGCTCGATAATCCAAAATACAACCAGAAAAGGTGAAAGTTGAAACAGATGGAACTTTATGAACATCTGAAAAGATGCATAAATGCACCATTCAATTCAACTACCCTCCACCGCTATCAACTATGCAAGTGTATTGCTGGCCGATGTATGGATTACAATGCAGCATTCTTCTTCCTGTAACTGCTTCATTCTTTAACAGAGCATCAAGAATGTGCATCAGGTTGAACATTGGTCAAAAGCAGGTTTCACAAAAATGTCCATGTCCAGTGTACCCTTGTAATTGGTCATTGAGACACAAATTAAAGTTTGAAGAAATTGAAACCAGTACAGAAGCTGAGAGAAGTAGCTCATTTCTAATCAAAGCAGTTCTAAACACCAAGTAAAATCCAGATTCCAGGTTAGAGGGAAATTCTCCTGAATTTTTATTAAAAATCACCATATTTCTCACTTATGCAATTAAATTGTTGAACAACTTCATGAAATTAAAACCTCAATGATGAAAGAAAAGTACACCACCTATTTTTTCCAAGACCCCTGCCAGCTTTAATCAGAAAAGGAACCCCGTCCCAACGTGCATTGTCAATGTACAGAGCAGCAGCGAAGTATGTAGGAGCCAGATTTAGACTGTCAGCAGAATTGCCTACAGAAACAGATTTGCACCGTCCAATAATAACGTCACTAGGTTCCAGTTTCTTGATTGATCTCAAAACCTTGACCTACAAAAAGCAAAAATTTGGACTTTGAGGAGATGCACACTTTCACTCAATGCAACCTCATTGCTCATATCCATCCAAAAACTAATCTAAGTTCTAAGCCACACTTGACAAAATTGAAAGGTACTGATCCATTGTGCTGTCTTTCAATTCAAAATCATAATAGTAGCTCCCAGTAGATACATCAAAACGCAGATTCAAACTATTTGTCTCAAAAAAACAGCAAAACCAAAAACTAAATCAGTACCCTGAAACCATTTAAACGATTCGAAAAACTTCACTGTAATATGTTTAAAAGTTTAGCAGAAGTAAGGTGTTACCCTCAGATAGATTAGTAATTTTTGCACAGGAAAATGGTATCACAAATATATATATATATATAAAAGTCACATGCCTTCTCATTGCGAACATCTTCACCATCAAGGGTTATAGGTGGTTCCATAGCAAGCAAAGCAATTGTCTGGAGTATGTGACTATGTACTACATCACCTATAATCCCATTCTCGTCCAAATATCTGATAGAAAAAGTCAAAAGTTAAAGGTACTTTCAAGAATTATTAATTAGGTAATAAACACCAGTCATAAGACAATGAAATACGTTCAGCTGCTTATATATATATATATATATATATATATATATATATATATATATATATATATATATATATATATATGTATGTATGTATGTATGTAGTCGACCTTGATGGTGCATGTGTAGCCAAGTCATCCGACCAAACAACCTACAAAACTTAGTTAACAGAAGTGAAGATGGGAATAATACTTAAAGCCACATTTTCAACTCAATGAATTAGCAAGTAATATTACCTGAATGTTGTCAATGTAATTTCGGTTCCATAGTGGCATAAAAACTAGATTAGAAAACCTTAACACTGCTAGATTTTCAATGGTATTCCTTCCCAAAAGATGATCAATCCTGAAAATATGGGAAACAGATCAATGGTAAATACTTGATAAATAAATATGAATCTGATCTTATGGAATTTTAACAGTTGCACCTGTATAATTGCTTTTCCTCAAATTTTGAATGAATGGACCGAGTGAACTGATCAGAAGACAGCAGATCCAAACCAAAGGGTTTTTCAATTATAATACGGCTCCATCCTTTTTGTGTTTGAGCATGTTCAGAGAGAGAAAATGCAACATCAAGGAGTGCTTCTTGGGGGACTGACAGGTAAAACATTCTGTTTGCTTCAAATTGTCCCTGAGGTAGGCCAGCTGTTAGCGAATTACAAATCAACAAAATCCAAAATAATTTCAAGCGAAAGGATGTCAATCCTACACATAACAGTTCCAATAGATTGACACTATTTACCTCAACTTGTTCCATTCGAGCTGTGAGCTTCAACATTCCTTCTCTATTGTCATATCCTCCATCAACAAAGTATGTTCGTCTAAGGAAAGCATCTATTTTGTCTTCACAACCTTGTCTGCAGATGTTATTCAACTCGGTGATATACACGTGTATATTCTATACATGAATACATATTCATCATCTGTTTAGTAAATTAAGGAGTGACAAAACTCTACAACTTCCACAAAGTAATTTATCATTTGAAAGTTCAACTCATTTAGAGCTTTTGGACTTCTGCATAGAAAGACAGATGTGAGAGAGAACTGAATCAATTCCAAGTTTTAATTGGCAGTCTAACTCAAGGTGAAGCTAAGGTGATCAACATATTTTGAGGATGCAGAAGTCCTTTTTCCTTCATTGCACTGTCTCTGTGTCACAAACTAAAAGAAACACATTTTGCGCATATATTGTATAAATGAAAGTCAAGTTCATTTCACATCACTTGGCCAGTTTTCTGCGGAAGTGAGGCTTTCAGTTTTAATGGAACCACATACTACATTGCTAATCCAAGGTCAATTCTATGAGACATTATACCAGGGAATCCAACACACAAGTAGAAACCTAAAAAGTTTTCACTTACTCATAATTGCCCCTTTTTTGGATGTTAGTAGTGTCAAATTCCATGCCATGAAGAAAGTTGATGGACATTGAAATTCTATGTTCTCAAGGTACAGGGTGAATTGTGTCAAGAAGATGAGAAGACAGGATAAACCAAGGATACTATCTTGCGAAATGGTCAATATCATTATGAACTCTGTTATAGTTGAGATAGAGTCGTCTTCTTATGAAAAGAGTATTCCATGAAACCAAGAATAGAAGTTTTTCTGTGTTATTAATTGCTCATAAGTTACAAAAGTAAAAGGGAATCTAGACTTTGCAGCTACTGAATTTCCAAAAATGGTTATCTCAAAAAGATACTGAAGTTAGAAAGAAAAGGCCAAAATGTCTTTTCTAATTAATAAGGAAACTGAGGAGCATACTGATGATCGATGCGACAAGCTAAAGTTGATGCTATTATGGATCTCAGATCCTCATCTGTTAAAGTTTTCCTTGAATACCCAAATACAGCAACATTCTGCAACCATAAGAAGGCGAGTCAGACTAGATAATTCTGCTGAAAAAGAATATTGAAAAAAATTCACAATCAGGGATACTATTGGGAAGATGCTCATATTTCATCTTGCCAAAAAACAAAAACATGTTGCCTCGAATCTTTCCCTCCAAAGATCTTGCATGCATTTAATCCATGAAATTTGAAATTGTCTTGTGACTTCTAATTTTGATTCTTATTCTTAACAAGTGGGGAGGGAAGCATAAGATGGAAGGAGCACTCTCTACAAAGGGA